GGATTTCTGCTGTCAGTTGAGCGACCATTGCAAATAGCATTCTTTAGACAGGTTTTTTTTGTTTAAATTTATTTGGAGAGGACTGGACCTTATGACTGAACACAAATGCTGTCACTTTGTTCTGCAGTTTATTAGGGCTTTGTGGCAAATCACAAATTCTTTGCGGTAGTTTGATGCAAGGACTAAACTTTTCCACATCAAAGTTCTGCTTCAAGCCTGCGATGATATTTTTTTCACTTTCATAGCGATAAGGAAAAGCAAGCAATAATGAAGAACATATGCAAAATTTAGCAATTGTCATCCCTAGTAACGATTTAAAAGCCAATAAATCAAAAATAACCTGGACTTTTAGCAAATATTTTAGCTTATTATATCATTATCCAGCGTAGGTACATGGAAACATGCTTAAACTTTAGTTGTGCACAAAAATAAATGAATGCACTCAACTCCAAAAACCCATAACTAACAGGGTTATTCACAAAAGGGTGAAGAGTTTGGAGAAGGCAGGAGAAGTGATCAATCTAGGACAACATAACTGAACTGGAAAATGAGATGAATTGGAGAATTTTTCCAAATCAGTTATGTTGTCCTAGGTTGTTCACTTCTCCTGCCTTCTCCAAACCCTTCACCCTTTTGTGAATTGACCTGTCAATCTTGTTTCACTGCCAGATGAATTAGAACTGTTGTTGCATTGAATTGTATATATAGTCCCTTTACATAAGCTCAAAGATCCTGTGTGAGTGTTTTTGTGTGCTTTTTTGGTATTGGCAAGTTATTTCATTCTCTATTTGCCAGTTTTGTTTTAATTACTCTCTTTACATTTTTTTGTGTGCAATAATCTCTGACCAAATGCTTTTCCCAGCAAGTAAGGAGGGTAGAACAGCTCGATGAATAGCCTATAGCTGACATCAGTGGGCTCTGCACACTATACAGCCAGATGTTAAAAGATTTTATATGTATAGTTCTTGCTATGTGGATAAAGAAATCTATTTAATCTTGGATTCTTTAGCTTGCATAATACATTTAGTTGCATTTCAGTGGTCCCCCCTTTGTTATTGTATGAGTACCTTGTTTTTTTGTGAATAGTTTTGAAGTGGAGCATTCTACATTAGATTGGCTAGTTGGAAGTCAAAATTTGCAGGTGATACAGGATAGGTTTGCCATGGTTGCATGGGTTGGAAAAAAGTTATTCTGTAGTAAGGCAAAGTAAGGATCAGTTTGCATGGTAGAGTTAAATTAATAGTCCTGGTTTTCTGCCTAACTGCGGATAGTGTGGCCCATAATGACAGGTTTACTATTTATAGTTCATTATACATTTGTATGCATACTCTCTAAATACACCTTGTTTTCTTGTGTTACATTTACTGTGTTTTTTTCTTTTGGTAAGGGAGCTATCAGATGGTATTTATTTCATGGGTAAACGTGGGTGTGAAATTCAAAGATGACATCTGAACACCTACAGTTAGGAAAAATGTATTTCAGTGTTGTGGTTTTACAGTTTCATTTTAATAGTGCTAGTATACTATATTTTAACAAGTAACTTCCTAACTAAAATGTATTTGTTATAACCATGATTTAACATTGTATAAGGGCTTGATTTGTTGAAATTATACATCTATAGTTTTGCTTTTGATGGCTTAGAGCAGGACTATTATCAAAATGCTTTGTATTTTTATAATATTTAAACTTGCCACTGGCACTTGCATAGTCAGTGTTTTTCAGGCAACTATTTTTCATTGTATGTCAACAATAGCCACCCAATTTGAAGTTTATTTTAAGATGTTAACTTTGGGCAAACACAGTAGAGCAGAGATGAGCTAGCCATGGTGCTGAATCACATTTGTGTTTCCCTGAAAGGAGATAAACGCTAAAACATTTACTCTTTAATCAACTAAACATAGTTTGAAAAGGCATGTATGAAATTTCGGTATTAAAGTGACACTAAACTCAGGGGTTAAATCTTAAAAATGCATTCAAGCACCTTAACTGTGAACATAAATGTAGCTTATTTGCCTATTACTTGGCTATAGATCCTCAATACATCTCTGAGTTTATGCTGACACTCCTTCCTTGTAGAGGTTAGCTTCTCCCATGATGGACTAGAATTCCAATACAAATTCAGAAACTAAACATAAGATTGTAGTCCATCACAGGAGTGAGCTTGGATTGGTGTCTACTTTAACACACACACACACACACACACACACACACACACACACACACACACACACACACACACACACACACACACACACACACACACACACACACACACACACACACACACAGCAACTCTCCAGAAAAGGACAATGCCAGCACCTATTTAGAGATGATTTGAGAATCTACAGCCAAGTAATTCACAGTTTAGTGTCAGGATTATGGAGGATGCTGTGGCCAAAATTCAGTCTGATGCTCAGTGTGGGGACACTTTTTATTTGTGCCAAACAATAATATGATATTTGCTAGGTACAAAACTCTGGGTCCTAGTTTCATTTTATTTCTAGGGGGGAGCATCTTCTTCTAAAGCACAAGTTGAATGTAATACTAAAGCAGTGCAAAGACTGTGTGAAAAAAATCAGGTGCAGTAAATTGTCACTTAAAGTAGAACTGAATTCAAAGCCATTTTATTTTATTTTTTTAGCTTTGACTATAGTAAGGGAGGGTTATACCTAGGGATGTCCAGATACCAGTGCTGATACTTGGCATTTTCACGAGAACTACCAGGGTTGCAGCAGTTGAAGCTGGGACCGGGCTCTGATGCTCCACCACTGTCCTGAAATCATTTGTCTGTACTGTTTTAGAAAAACTGTCACATGACAATAAAAAAATGTATCAGTACTTGTATCTGTAAGTACTTGGGCAAGTATCAGTACTTGTACTTGAAAAAATTGTATCGGTGCATCCCTTATATATATTTATATTTAAAAAAATCATACATTAAAACAGGGATGCACAAATCCCAGGAGCTCTGTATGCTCCCTAAAAATGACAGCTGCATCCCTAACTTTTGAATTTTTCTCTAGTCTAGTCTTGGAGCTGGAAAAGTATCTGTGCTGGTACCGTATACGGTACTTGGTATCTGAACATCCCTAGTTATAACCACTGTCAGGTTATCTCTGTCCCTTTGGGGAGATTTGCCTTCAGTTTCTGTCCGATAGCCATAACACAAAGCAAGGAAAATCTGTGGTGGTCAGCAGAGCCACTAGAACTAGTGTCTCCAGTGGAAGTTGTCTCATTTTATTCCTGTTCTGGTAACAACCCAAAATGTGGGATTTTCTTTCACTTTCAGTGGTAAGCATCACCAGATCAAGGAGAGGTGGGTAAATCTCCCTTATGGTACACAGATAGAAATACAAATCTTCTAATCTTTTAATCCCTCTCCACTCTTTCCAAACAAAAACAAAAATGAATGTCTTGGCTACAGTTGCATTATAACTGTTAAAGCATTTGTTCAATATATGAATTGTATTGTTGTCCGTTTTGATAATTTTTTCCACCAGAGAGAGGTTTCAATATCTAACAGATTACATTGTACATAGTAACATCATTATAATGACCTCTCTGACATTTCTATTCAAAGTGCACCAGCCAGTGATAAAGGAAGTTGGGTTCTTCTGTTCTTTTCATGGTTTCACAGGCTTTATAATTATTAGAGTTTAACATTGATCTGTTTTTAGTTCTCTGCCTAAAGCATCTAAAACACCTCTGAAAGGCTTGTAAATGTTCAATACTATCTGTTCATTTGTGTGATTGCTTTCATTTGCTGCAAAAGTTGAAATATTGAATGTTCTTAAAACATATTAAAGTTAAGATGGGATCAAATGTTAGAGCAGGCAGTTGGGAGTATTATTTTACAATGTTCATCTAAATATCTATAACCTATATACACAATATGAGTGTAATGTCATGATGATGTGAAAAAATGGTTAAGCAAGTACTTTTACTGTGCTAGATACAAAAGGAATTCTGTCAGAAGGTTTGCAGCACATTTCTAATTGAAGTTCTGCATGTGGTTTCAGAAGATGTACAAATCCGCAGATTCATTAATTGATAATATCAAACTGCAAGTGGTGCCTGAGAGAGTAGAGTCATCTGGTTGGTCTGGTGTTGTGCATTAAGTAGGACATTTTTCCAATATATTATATTTTTAAAAAGTCTACTGTCTTTAAAAAAAAAAAATACAGTGGTTGACAGATAATGTGTTTATCAGTTCTCAGCTGTAACTGGGAGAGTCCTCTTCAATTATCCCTCTATCTAATTTATCATATGAGCCACACTATGTTCCCTTACAGCAGTTAACCTATCCACACATCCAACTAGGACAAGTTTTCAGGGCAGGGCATTGCTGTATTGCAGCTGTCTTTTATTGGGTCTATAGTAGGGTATGCCTTGTAGCAGCTGGTTACCATGGTAACGTATTATGCTTATTATGCTAAAAATGAGCGAACCAAGATTTTAAGCGAATGCAGCCCATCCACAAAGGCAAGTATTCACTTTTTTTAAAAAATTTACCCAGAAGTGACACTCCACTTTGCAACTGCATTTTTATTGTGCATTAGCACAATGTAGAAGGAGAGAGATTAGTGTGACAAAGTGTGCCCTGGCAAAGGTCCTTGTTACCACTGGGGTGCCTGTGCCTGGCTGCATTTCACTTTTTTTTTTTTTACACTGAATTTAGAGCTCTTACCTGCCTAGCTACCTACTCTGACCTGATCAGAGCATGACATGGAAAAGTATGAGGAGAAGCTTTCCTGAACACCTGTGCAGAGGAAGTATGGAGACTACCGTAGCTCACCTTTCCTTCTAAAGATGATAGTTGCCTGACTGCTACTAATCATCTGGATTCATTATTTTAATTCACCTGCAACAAGTTTGCTTAGCAAAGAGTATTGACTTAGAATTGTGACTTATTGCATAACTTTATGCTAGTGTCTCAGTTGTGTTTATAATTGCTGCAATACCTGGTTCTTCACAGTTTTTTGTTTCTTGTACCTCTGCAGGATAACTACACCTTTGCACAGCCAGGAATTCAGAAGAAAGTGAAAATGTTGGAGGAGCTGGTTAGCCGTATTGATGGTAAGTTGTGTGGAACTGCTTCAGCTGCAGCAATATAGCATTACGGCGCACCAAATTGATATCCTATCAGTAAAATTATTTGCTATGCCAGTCTACCTAAGTATGTCTCCTATAGGATGTCATTGTTATTTAACATAGGGAAGAGTGCTGTTTTGAAGATTTCTACAGTGGATCATTTTAGGTCAAGATACTAGAACTAATTTGTAAAAAAAAATGGAGTTTTTTTACAAATTAGTTTTTTTAGGCCTACATAATAAAAATTCTTTAATCTTTTACAGCACAGCATTCACCAGGGACGACAAAAAAAGAAACAAAAAAGTTTCACAGGGTGCTTTTTGTGAGAAAAGTGTTTAAGTTTCGTCTTTAGAAAACCTCAAAGTAGTTGATATCTTCTTTTTTTTTTTTGCAAGGCTTTGATCCACTTTTTGTTCAGTACAGCGTCTAAGAAGTATGCCACTGCTTCTTGTAGAGTGGATTGCTATTTTTGCTTGCTAACCAATGTTTCTATCATTATCCCTCATTCAGTATGGCTGTCTACCTTAAAATGCCAGACCCTTCTTTCTAAGATGGAGAGAATTCAGAGACAGGTAACAAAAATGGTCTGTAGGATAAATCATATCAGGATAGACTGCAGGGACATCCTGGGAAATAGAAGAGAAAGGGGACATGGTTGAAACCTTTGAATACATTAGGGGTGTGAATAAGGTTTTAGGAAGGCAGTACAGTAATTTCAGTATGACGCTAAGAAAAGGAAAACATTGACATGATCTCATTTACATGAGGGACATTATCTAACCTTAGAAGGCATTAATTTACTAAAGAGTAGTGGTATCAGTCAACAGTATATGGTTCTAAACATATGTGGGATAAACATAGGTCTAGACTCGGACATAATGGTTAAAAAAAAATTAAAAGGACCACTTGGTCTTTCTCTATTGTCACTCGCCTAAGTTTCCAAACCATAATGACCATCTGCACCTGTAGCTTGGTGCATGCAGTGGGTAAATACATAGTGCTCCATTGCATGTTCAAGTGCATGGATCAGATTTTCAAATCAGATTAAAAGCACTAAATCACTAAAAGTACATAAATCTCATGCAGACGGAGTATTGTAAAAATTGTTTATATATTTACATAGTTTTTTTGGCCAGAGGACACAAATACGGGAATTGCACTTATCCTTTAAATATAACATTTTAACAACAAAGAGTGCATGATACATATATCTTTAACCCCTTCGTGACTGGAGACGTACAGTGTACGTCCCATCACAAAGTGCCTACATGACTGGCCACGTACACTGCACGTGACAATTGATATCAGGCTCTGTAATGCCGGTAACAGCTGATTCTCAGCTGTTACCATTCATTAATGAATGCCTCAGTATTGAGGCATTCATTAATGAAATAGTTGGGCTTTTGTCAAAGCTTCTTTCTTTCATTAATGAGAGAATGAAGCCTTTACATACAAATATGGGACCGCTATATAGCGAACCCGTATTTGACAGCTGAAGATAGCAGAGAGGTAGCAGTGACTCACCTCTCTGCTATTCCTTTTGACTGCTGTATAGCCTGACCCAATGTTTAGATACATTTCAGGCAAAGAGATCCAAATGTATCTCTGTACTTAAAATGTATCACTTCTGATCGTCTAGGCACGATCAAGAACCTTTAGTGAGATCTGATTCTGATAAACTGACAAAAAAAGTGTAAAAAAATTAGGAAAATAAAAATTATATATAAATATATTTTTATACTATAAGTATTATACAAAAAAAACTAAAAATAATAATAATCAAAACTTGCTGCTGTGGAATAATCACACAGCAAAAATTGAAAGTGTCAGTCATTCTTGAAAAGAAACTGAAAATTAGCTCAGTCATGAACGGGTTAATTTGCAGACATTTGTGGACAAATTTGCATTTTCATCCTACAATAGGACCATCTAATATATTGAAGAAAATGGATTAAGATGGCAAGTTTTAAGTTACAATTTTATTTGCAGACAAAACTTGGTATCTGACTGCAGGTCTGAAGTTAACCACTTTATATGTAAAAATACAATAACTAGTATGGGCTAACCGATTTTTTTAATTTGTGTGGTGTTTTTTAGTTCACTAAATACAAGCAGAATGTAAGAAAATGAACACAAGCTCAAATATGATTTGTGGTTAGGCCTCTTAGCTCCTAAAACAATTCACTTTGTGAAAGGCTGACTGTCATCGTGCCACTGCAAAATTTAATTAAAAGAAATTCGACAGATAAAGCAGGCCCATTCTTTAAATATTCTCTTGATAGTTTGCTAAATTAATGAACAGGGCATTAACAAAGTGATGCCAAGCAGAACTAAGCTTTCTGTGACACTAACTTGCCAGTGGTGGAATTGAAAACAAAAAAGATTTTTATTTGCGGAAATAGCTTAATATTATCTTGTAAAAAGATAATTTTTTCTATTTTTATTCGATTTACAAAATCAGATTCTACAATAATGAATGGATTTTCCTATTTTTTTAGTTGTCAAGATAATCCCATACATATTTAAAGTGCATGTAAATCCTAATAATGAACTCCTCTTATTTGCACATTTTCAGTCTATTAAATATACTATTATAAGTAGGGATGCACCCAAAGTTTGTCCGAAAATGGCACTTTTGGCAAAATGATGAATTTACCATTATGGACAAAAATGCTGCCAAAAATTCATTGTATCCCTATCTTCTCTCCTCCCCTCTGGGCACAGATCTGTGTGCCTTCTGATGCAGTGGCCAGCACTCAGTGGGGAAAAGAGAAGGTTTCAGGAGGCTGAGCAGGTGATGACCGCTGTCAGGATGTCGAGCAGTGCGGGGCGATGACCGCTGTCAGGATGTCGAGCAGTGCGGGGCGATGTCAGCTGTCAGGTTGGAGAGCAATGAGTGTAGGAGAGCGCTGTGGTCTGTCACAGGAGGCAGAGCTTTCCTCCCCCACCAGCCACTCGGCCTCCTGTGACAGCCGATTCAGGATGGAGAGCGGTATACAAACACCGTCAGCTGATCGCTGAGTGTTTGTAAATAGCTGGCCATAGTGTGCCTACTATGTGCCAGTTATGAATAGGAAGTGCTCTACATGACTTCCGATTCATTCATGATTGTGGACATAGTAACGCATACTATATCCACAATGTATGAAAGGACAGGAACACTCGTTATAGAGGCTTCCTGTTCTTTCATAAAAGGGGGCGCAGAAAAAGAGAGTGAGGACTCAATCTCTTTTTTTTTTTTTTTTTTAAAGTTAAATATCAGGGCTCTGTTTAGACCTCTGATATTTCCCTTGAGCCCCCAGCAGTAAAGTAAAAAGAAAAATCCATTATAATAAAATTATTTAAAAATTAAACATTTTTTAAAATGTTGGAAAAAAACGTAATTTTTGTTTTCAGTTTCAGCCTGACAATTTTTTTTATCTTTAGTTTTGTCTCAAAATTCAATTTTGGTGCATCACTAATTCATAAGCATTTTGTTAAATTGGTTTGATACCTGTTGATCATGGTAAAAACTCACAGCTGTCCTGTGCTCACTTCCTTTGTTATCTCAAGTAGCCCTTCTAGTTCATATCATGGACTACAGAACAATCACTCTCTTTGTTGTGAAGATAAGAAGACTGGGTGTGATTTAGTAGTTTATTAAAATGCATCTGGGCAAGGATTACACACTTCCTTGCAATTTAACTGCAGAAAAAGGCATATGTTGTCAGTCCACGACAGGGAATTAGGAACTACATCCACAGGTTTTTTCTTTACTTGCAGGGAGTTTAATAGTTCTGCTTTAAAATAAACTGCTGCACAGTTTTGTGTTAAGTTTGTATCAGACTGTTAGAATCCTGAACAATTAGTTGCTGTGTAATGGTGGATATGATGCACGTTTAACTGCACCATAGTATAGGTTACCACTGCAAGAGCTTTAGGAATTTTGCTATGGTGATACAATCCTCAGTATTATCTCAGATAAGTTTGAATGCCTTACTAATTATTGAGGGAAAAATATGTATTTTCCCATTATCAAAGAGAATGTGTAGTGGTTTGTACAGATGTACTAAAAGATGCCTGTTGTTTACATAACACAAATTAGTGCTCAGAGTAGTTTTAATTAGACTAAGGGAGATGCAAAGCATGCTTTCTGTGCGGTTTTCTCTTTATAAAACTTATTCTGCTTTGGGAATCATTTGTCATGTTAGAGTAGCAGTGGTGAACAGTTAAAATCTCAAAACAGACACAAAAAAAAAACATATGGTTTGGTATCTATGTAGCTACAGGGTCTACGAGCGTTACCCTGTTAAACTGTTATGCTTATACCAGCCTGTGTTCTTAATGCCATTTGGATAGTGTTTTGGATGCACAGGGCCTAGTTATTCTGTATGTCCAGTGCTGCAGGGAGATATCTGGAAATTTGCTGGTGCGTTGGATTTATGAGCGGCGTAAAATGTACCTGCTATACTTTCTAAATATCTGGATCCAGAAAATAAAATCACTGCCTGAGACCAGACAGTCATGAAAACACCCCTTGGTCCTTATTGTCATTGCACTGTTTGGGTTCACTGTGGGGATTCCTGGAAGCCTGCATAGAACGGCACTCACAATGTTTTGATATGTGAGCTTCTTTAAATACCTCCCGCAGTCCGGTGCTAGAGACAGGGAAGTAGGAATAGTAATCATTTTGTGACCACATCTATTATTTTATACTTGGGTACTTAAACAGCAAATCATTAAATATTAATTGTGGGGAGGTGTGCAAGGACAGGAAGGGTAAATTGATTGGTAGGTTCCTATTGGTCCTCAAGTTGGGCATTAAAGTGACACTAAGTTCAGAAGTTAAATGTGTGTATTACTCAGCTGTAAATCATCAAATCATCTCTGAATTGGTACTGACACTGTCCTTCTGGAGGGTGTCTACTTTTGTTCCCAATGGTTCCTATATGTGTTACAAAGTAGCCACCGCTCCAAGAGTGCTTCCGTGATGGACTAATAATTTT